TGATCATCAACGGCTATCTTTGATAAATTTTGAATAAAAAAACTACAAAGAAAGCGCAAAACTCTGGCTGCCCCCTTCATCGGCGAGTGTCCAGACATCAGTGGGTTGATAGTGGACCTGCCCAATCTGGCAGAGTACATGGGCAGGTGGTACGAGACATACAGGGTGCCCAACTTTGAAATGGGACAGGAGTGTGTCTTTGCAACCTACACACTGGAAAACAGTCCATATGGTTGGCCTATTTTACAGAACAAATTCGAATATTTTCCATAACGGAAGCTTATTTTTACATGTTATCATTTCTCTTTTTTAAATTAGATCGAATAGCTTCTTCTTGTGCCTGTTTGCCTGTTATTTGAATAATCGGAATCAACATAGCGTTCAAGTATTGTACTTTAAAACGTCAAAAAATGAACCTCAGACAATACAGAGTCAAGTTTTCCAAGGTAATGGCTAAAAAACCGATCAAAAGTGAAAAAGGTTGGCCGGTTTGCTTTGCTTGTGGGAAAGAAAGTTGCGGCCACGGAATCAAAAAAACTAGATTAGGCATATTCGATAGTTTTAGTAAATAAGGGATATTCGACAATTGTTTTCTCCTTTCCAATAAATAAGAAGTGTAATTGGATAAATGATCATTTGTGGCACCTGATTTTGCGTGGAAAAAATATTTTAAAATTAAACCACACCCGAAGGCAAGATTCCTCCACGGTTTTAGTGGTCGGAACAAATATATTTAAGTCAACTTCATTTTGTTACTTGTTCAGGCACCTATGTGCAAGTGAACAACACTGGCTTCGGGTGGGTAGATGGCTACTCTGGCATAGTGGGCATGGCCATCCAGCCCAACCCCCTTATGGCTGCATTGATCGTCTCTTTCTCCGGATACCCATCCCAGAGCGCCACAGCTCCCAACTACAACATCATCAGGCTAGTTAACTATTGGAACGTATATTTATTCAATCAGAATTCTAAAAGCGAGTTCTGACTTCAAATAGACATCAAACTCTGTCTACGACAGCCAAAACGGCTTCCTATTTTTTACTCGATTTGCTCAAAAAAAATTGAAAAAATTTTTATTGGGTAACAGAAAAGATCAATTACATACGCTCTTTGTTGATTATAGGCACATATAACTCACTCTTTAATTTTATCTAAGCATTTTGCAGAAATGAAATTACATCATTATTTTAATTTAAAAGTCAGTTTGAAGGCGAAAAAGTTTCTTACTAATCAATCATTAGTTAGGACTCATTTCAGTCTAGACCTCTCCTCCTATGCATTGATCTACTCCTGTGACAGTGAGGGCGGTCTAGGCTCAGTGGATGCATGGATACTATCCAGGACCAACTCCCTCCCTGATGACGTCATCGCTGATCTGAAGGGACTGCTGGCCTCTCTAGGGGTAGAAGTGGGCAATATGCATGCTACTGTGCAGAATGACTACTACTGCCCGGTCGCTTAGAAAAAGCCAAAACATGTGACCAACTTTTAAAATCTACAAATAAAAATAGCTTGTATGCAATGTTGTACAAATAAATACATCAATATAATGTTGAATGGTTGTTTTATAAAAATAATCACCATTTAGCTGCACAAAATGAGTGAAAAATTCTAATGCTAAAATCAAAAAATATGCCAATAGCGAAAAACCAACATTATTAAAATTGTCAACAATTATCACCAGCATCACAGAAGATTCGAAAAAAATTTCCTGCCAATTTAAAATAAGCAAATTTGTGCTTGGGCCTCGTCCAATAAACAGTATTTATAATCACGCGAGCCTGTTAGAACCTGGATGTGTAATGAAAAAATCTCAACAGTTTAAAGATGCAAATTCAAGTTCACTTTGTGATCTTAGCGAATATGCAAGGAGATGAGATTAAGTTATCGATGAAATCTGGGTGACAAGCAGCTTCCACTGTTTTTTTCTCCAAACTGAAACTTTGTACTATTTTTAAAGACTATTAATCAGGACTAAATATAATTAAAAGATTTCACCTTACTTAGACTAGGCGAGATTTCTACGGCTTGAATGGAATTGTATAATAGCAGCTGTTCCTTCAAATGAGAGGCCAACTTAATTGTATTCATAAATCGGTTTCTCTTCCAGAAATCGTGATGAAACAGTGCTCTTGTATTCTAACACTTGGTTAGGACTTTTTTTGGTTTACTTACGGTTTTGTTGCAGTACCGCTACAAACCAGAACATTTTGTCTCGTTAACTCATGCACTGTTAGGAAATGCTTAACTGTTGGAACTGTTTCAAATTTGAAACCATTCGATGATATTTTGGCTCAGATTTGAAACTAAATCGACGAATTTTCTCATTTTGCTATTTTAAGTATTTGTTTTTCGAATAGACTATATGAAGAAAAAATAAATTCAAGCCTGCATAAATACATACAACGACAGCAAATGTGTTGTTGAAGCGTAACTGAAAACTCGAAGGTAACCAATACGTCATGAGCACGACTTATAGCGAGTTTAATTACTCTATATACGTCTAGCCCCATAAAACATTAGATTCTTAAATATTTTTGGTCATTTTCTCCCCTTCCCTTCACCCATTTCACCCCTATTTCCCACCCTACATGCTCGCCGCTATTTTTTACTCGCTCATTAACTCACAGGCACTAAATATCTCAGAGGTACATCATGCCCTGAGGCAGGGACGCACCCGTAAAGAGTGCCGTACCCTTTTTAGCTTTCCCTACATTGTTGGCTAGGGTAATTTCTGAACTTTCCATCATTGCATTTATCTGAAAACCTTTTTCTGTGAAAGACGGAAGTTAGGCTGAGAATTTAAAATGTACAGTGCAAGTAAAGTTCTGATAGAAAAAATTTAGTCAAGTTTCTAAATTTCTAGAACCTGTACGCATCCAGTAATCTCTCGTGCCAGATGTCCGAGTTACTGCAAAAAAATTCGTTTCTCGAGGTTCAGTGACAAAAAGGCAACATACGTTTGCGAAAAAAACTGGCTATTTAATTTCCAACTTGCAATTAATTGACCCCTTCTCTCTCTCAGTGATATGTACTTCATCTTACACTCAATAATTGCCGATAATTAAATGCACTTCATTGCGTTTCAATTAATTGAGGGTAACATCCTTGCTCACAGGTACTTCCTGCTCTAACATGTACTAATTCACTCTGCTTTTCGACACAAAGTCGGAGCTGCAATTTCGCTCAGACAAGCGCGAAAGCGACAAAAAGGAGCTTTAAAATGCACAAAAGCACAAATTTGTCCCTAAATGCGCAGTTTGTCACTGAAACAAAATTTGGGATGTAATAAGCAAAAAGCAGCCACACTGATTTTTCATCGTAATAATTTGGGCACAGAGGCAAAAATTTGCTTCACAAATACTAGCGAATTAACGACAAAAAAAACAGCTCTACAAAGTGAAGTACGAGAATTAGAAAATAAGTCTCGAATAGGTAAAATTTTTGCAGTGTCTGATTGGAACCCGCGACTTCCAGATTTGACGTCCCACGACCCTCCCTCTCGGCCACGGACGCTTAAAACATCACAAACCTTAGCCAAAAATAAAGCAGAGAACATATTCTTTAAAATTGCCAAAACTAAAGACCGTGATTATAGCAAAACTGCCAACAAATAAGGATTTTTATTTGAGAGTTGAACATGAAATTCGATAGGCTGTGTTCTTGTGCGACCACTGAAAATTGTAGGACCTTGTTTCCAGGTGTGTTTTAGCTTACAAAAACTATAACAAAACTATACCACGTACAATCATCAGAAAAAGTTGACTGAGATGTCATATAGAAGCCCCTCCAGTCGTGATTCGAATGACATAAAAAAGTTTACAATTTGTCGAGAAAAACCGGTATGAAATCGCGGAATTTTTTTAACCTAACTTCGATCAAATAAAGCAATCGGGCGGTCTTATAATAGGGCAAAAAGCTTTTAAATTAGCAGTTTTATAAAAGTAGAAGTTCTTTTAAGGATTTCTTGGGAATAAAAAAATCGAAAAAACTATCCTGAACAAAACTATTGATGAATCAGCCTAATTTGCTATTACTATGGATTCAGTTTAATTTCTAGGTTTTCTTTCGGATTGTTCCACCATACAACAAGCAAAAAAATGATTAAATTTGAAAAAAAAAGTTTAGGAAACTGAAAAAAGAAACTTAAAAAGAAATCTTGCTATTTGATCAACTTACTGTACTACTTGATCATCAACGGCTATCTTTGATAAATTTTGAAAAAAAAAACTACAAGGAAAGCGCAAAAGTGGATTAGAATTTTTGTGTGTGAACTTAGAATATAAAAAAAAATGTTATCACTTTTTAACTAGTTTTACAAAAAAAATGTCAGAATTTGTTATCATTCAAATTGTTTCAGTTTTCATAATTTTATAATATTTTTGATATCTTAATTTTGATGTCAATTTTCTGTCGTTCGGCCCCAGTGTCAAGATGACTTCCGACGGCGAATACATGACAAATTAGTGGGAAATTCAGCAAATAACTTGAGGCCAGCAAGCCAATTTGATTTCACACGCGCCAGTGAGCAAAAAAAAATAGAACATTACCTTGATTGATTAAAAAGAATCACGGATCACTGTTTTGGAGTATTCAGAAAAACCCAAACCAAAAAAGCTGGATATTTTTTCATTTATAGGCTTCATTTAGTCGGCGTTCAGGGCAAATAAAGCCTAAATAGTTGAACGCTTTAGCAATACTAACAGAATCTTGCCCTAGGAAGGTTAACATAGCGCTAAATCAATTTTAACAGTAGCCTGGTTGCAGTGTTCTGTTTCGGCGCTCTGCTCCATTTCTCTCTCAGACAGGCACCTCTATGTTTCTAAATAAACTGAAATATTTTACGTTTTTTTGGTCTAATTGGAAAACAGATGGCTTTTTGGTGATATTAAAAGCGCACTTTAAGAAAATGCCGCGTCTAATAGGTCATTGACACCTGGGAATTTTGCTCTATGAATGGCATACAGTACACAACAGGAAGAAATATTACAGCATCCGCAAACATAAGAAATGCTCACATCATTTAAAGATCATACGTGTTTAAGTTATCATATCATCAATTTTACACTCAATCAGCAATCGTTCAGCATTTGTAAAACAATCAGCTGAATTTGAAACACAATAAAGATGTTTTCAGGTGTCCAATCCCTATTTGTGAGCCTCTTGGGTTTGAACTTGACTCTGACTCTGGCTGCCCCCTTCATCGGCGAGTGTCCAGACATCAGTGGGTTGATAGTGGACCTGCCCAATCTGGCAGAGTACATGGGCAGGTGGTACGAGACATACAGGGTGCCCAACTTTGAAATGGGACAGGAGTGTGTCTTTGCAACCTACACACTGGAAAACAGTCCATATGGTTGGCCTATTTTACAGAACAAATTCGAATATTTTCCATAACGGAAGCTTATTTTTACATGTTATCATTTCTCTTTTTTAAATTAGATCGAATAGCTTCTTCTTGTGCCTGTTTGCCTGTTATTTGAATAATCGGAATCAACATAGCGTTCAAGTATTGTACTTTAAAACGTCAAAAAATGAACCTCAGACAATACAGAGTCAAGTTTTCCAAGGTAATGGCTAAAAAACCGAGCAAAAGTGAAAAAGGTTGGCCGGTTTGCTTTGCTTGTGGGAAAGAAAGTTGCGGCCACGGAATCAAAAAAACTAGATTAGGCATATTCGATAGTTTTAGTAAATAAGGGATATTCGACAATTGTTTTCTCCTTTCCAATAAATAAGAAGTGTAATTGGATAAATGATCATTTGTGGCACCTGATTTTGCGTGGAAAAAATATTTTAAAATTAAACCACACCCGAAGGCAAGATTCCTCCACGGTTTTAGTGGTCGGAACAAATATATTTAAGTCAACTTCATTTTGTTACTTGTTCAGGCACCTATGTGCAAGTGAACAACACTGGCTTCGGGTGGGTAGATGGCTACTCTGGCATAGTGGGCATGGCCATCCAGCCCAACCCCCTTATGGCTGCATTGATCGTCTCTTTCTCCGGATACCCATCCCAGAGCGCCACAGCTCCCAACTACAACATCATCAGGCTAGTTAACTATTGGAACGTATATTTATTCAATCAGAATTCTAAAAGCGAGTTCTGACTTCAAATAGACATCAAACTCTGTCTACGACAGCCAAAACGGCTTCCTATTTTTTACTCGATTTGCTCAAAAAAAATTGAAAAAATTTTTATTGGGTAACAGAAAAGATCAATTACATACGCTCTTTGTTGATTATAGGCACATATAACTCACTCTTTAATTTTATCTAAGCATTTTGCAGAAATGAAATTACATCATTATTTTAATTTAAAAGTCAGTTTGAAGGCGAAAAAGTTTCTTACTAATCAATCATTAGTTAGGACTCATTTCAGTCTAGACCTCTCCTCCTATGCATTGATCTACTCCTGTGACAGTGAGGGCGGTCTAGGCTCAGTGGATGCATGGATACTATCCAGGACCAACTCCCTCCCTGATGACGTCATCGCTGATCTGAAGGGACTGCTGGCCTCTCTAGGGGTAGAAGTGGGCAATATGCATGCTACTGTGCAGAATGACTACTACTGCCCGGTCGCTTAGAAAAAGCCAAAACATGTGACCAACTTTTAAAATCTACAAATAAAAATAGCTTGTATGCAATGTTGTACAAATAAATACATCAATATAATGTTGAATGGTTGTTTTATAAAAATAATCACCATTTAGCTGCACAAAATGAGTGAAAAATTCTAATGCTAAAATCAAAAAATATGCCAATAGCGAAAAACCAACATTATTAAAATTGTCAACAATTATCACCAGCATCACAGAAGATTCGAAAAAAATTTCCTGCCAATTTAAAATAAGCAAATTTGTGCTTGGGCCTCGTCCAATAAACAGTATTTATAATCACGCGAGCCTGTTAGAACCTGGATGTGTAATGAAAAAATCTCAACAGTTTAAAGATGCAAATTCAAGTTCACTTTGTGATCTTAGCGAATATGCAAGGAGATGAGATTAAGTTATCGATGAAATCTGGGTGACAAGCAGCTTCCACTGTTTTTTTCTCCAAACTGAAACTTTGTACTATTTTTAAAGACTATTAATCAGGACTAAATATAATTAAAAGATTTCACCTTACTTAGACTAGGCGAGATTTCTACGGCTTGAATGGAATTGTATAATAGCAGCTGTTCCTTCAAATGAGAGGCCAACTTAATTGTATTCATAAATCGGTTTCTCTTCCAGAAATCGTGATGAAACAGTGCTCTTGTATTCTAACACTTGGTTAGGACTTTTTTGGTTTACTTACGGTTTTGTTGCAGTACCGCTACAAACCAGAACATTTTTTCTCGTTAACTCATGCACTGTTAGGAAATGCTTAACTGTTGGAACTGTTTCAAATTTGAAACCATTCGATGATATTTTGGCTCAGATTTGAAGCTAAATCGACGAATTTTCTCATTTTGCTATTTTAAGTATTTGTTTTTCGAATAGACTATATGAAGAAAAAATAAATTCAAGCCTGCATAAATACATACAACGACAGCAAATGTGTTGTTGAAGCGTAACTGAAAACTCGAAGGTAACCAATACGTCATGAGCACGACTTATAGCGAGATTAATTACTCTATATACGTCTAGCCCCATAAAACATTAGATTCTTAAATATTTTTGGTCATTTTCTCCCCTTCCCTTCACCCATTTCACCCCTATTTCCCACCCTACATGCTCGCCGCTATTTTTTACACGCTCATTAACTCACAGGCACTAAATATCTCAGAGGTACATCATGCCCTGAGGCAGGGACGCACCCGTAATAAGTGCCGAACCCTTTTTAGCTTTCCCTACATTGTTGGCTAGGGTAATTTCTGAACTCTCCATCATTGCATTTATCTGAAAACCTTTTTCTGTGAAAAACGGAAGTTAGGCTGAGAAATTAAGTTGTACAGTGCAAGTAAAGTTCTGATAGAAAAAATTTAGTCAAGTTTCTAAATTTCTAGAACCTGTACGCAGCCAGTAATCTCTCGTGCCAGATGTCCGAGTTACTGCAAAAAAATTCGTTTCTCGAGGTTCAGTGACAAAAAGGCAACATAAGTTTGCGAAAAAAACTGGCTATTTAATTTCCAACTCGCAATTAATTGACCCCTTCTCTCTCTCAGTGATATGTACTTCATCTTACCCTCAATAATTGCCGATAATTAAATGCACTTCATTGCGTTTCAATTAATTGAGGGTAACATCCTTGCTCACAGCTACTTCCTGCTCTAACATGTACTAATTCACTCTGCTTTTCGACACAAAGTCGGAGCTGCAATTTCGCTCAGACAAGCGCGAAAGCGACAAAAAGGAGCTTTAAAATGCACAAAAGCACAAATTTGTCCCTAAATGCGCAGTTTGTCACTGAAACAAAATTTGGGATGTAATAAGCAAAAAGCAGCCACATTGATTTTTCATCGTAATAATTTGGGCACAGAGGCAAAAATTTGCTTCACAAATACTAGCGAATTAACGACAAAAAACAGCTCTACAAAGTGAAGTACGAGAATTAGAAAATAAGTCTCGAATAGGTAAAATTTTTGCAGTGTCAGATTGGAACCCGCGACTTCGAGATTTGACGTCCCACGACCCTCCCTCTCGGCCACGGACGCTTAAAACATCACAAACCTTAGCCAAAAATAAAGCAGAGAACATATTCTTTAAAATTGCCAAAACTAAAGACCGTGATTATAGCAAAACTGCCAACAAATAAGGATTTTTATTTGAGAGTTGAACATGAAATTCGATAGGCTGTGTTCTTGTGCGACCACTGAAAATTGTAGGACCTTGTTTCCAGGTGTGTTTTAGCTTACAAAAACTATAACAAAAAACATACCACGGACAATCATCAGAAAAAGTTGACTGAGATATCATATAGAAGCCCCTCCAGTCGTGATTCGAATGACATAAAAAAAATCACAATTTGTCGAGAAAAACCGGTTTGAAATCGCGGAATTTTTTTAACCTAACTTCGATCAAATAAAGCAATCGGGCAGTCTTATAATAGGGCAAAAAAGCTTTTAAATTAGCAGTTTTATAAAAGTAGAAGTTCTTTTAAGGATTTCTTGGGAATAAAAAAATCGAAAAACTATCCTGAACAAAACTATTGATGAATCAGCCTAATTTGCTATTACTATGGATTCAGTTTAATTTCTAGATTTTCTTTCAGATTGTTCCACCATACAACAAGCAAAAAAAAATGATTAAATTTGAAAAAAATTTAGGAAACTGAAAAAAGAAACTTAAAAAGAAATCTTGCTATTTGATCAACTCACTGTACTACTTGATCATCAACGGCTATCTTTGATAAATTTTGAATAAAAAAACTACAAAGAAAGCGCAAAAGTGGATTAGAATTTTTGTGTGTGAACTTAGAATATAAAAAAAAATGTTATCACTTTTTAACTAGTTTTACAAAAAAAATGTCAGAATTTGTTATCATTCAAATTGTTTCAGTTTTCATAATTTTATAATATTTTTGATATCTTAATTTTGATGTCAATTTTCTGTCATTCGGCCCCAGTGTCAAGATGACTTCCGACGGCGAATACATGACAAATTAGTGGGAAATTCAGCAAACAACAGTGAGCAAAAAAAATAGAACATTACCTTGATTGATTAAAAAGAATCACGGATCATTGTTTTGGAGTATTCAGAAAAACCCAAACCAAAAAAGCTGGATATTTTTTCATTTATAGGCTTCATTTAGTCGGCGTTCAGGGCAAATAAAGCCTAAATAGTTGAACGCTTTAGCAATACTAACAGAATCTTGCCCTAGGAAGGTTAACATAGCGCTAAATCAATTTTAACAGTAGCCTGGTTGCGGTGTTCTGTTTCGGCGCTCTGCTCCATTCCTCTCTCAGACAGGCACCTCTATGTTTCTTAATAAAATGAAATATTTTACGCTTTTTTGGTCTAATTGGAAAACAGATGGCCTTTTGGTGACATTAGAAGCGCACTTCAAGAAAATGCCGCGTCTAATAGGTCATTGACACCTGGGAATTTTGCTCTATGAATGGCATACAGTACACAACAAGAAGAAATATTACAGCTTCCGCAAACATAAGAAATGCTAGCATCATTTAAAGATCATACGTGTTTAAGTTATCATATCATCAATTGTACGCTCAATCAGCAATCGTTCAGCATTTGTAAAACAACCAACTGAATTTGAAACATCAAAAAAGATGTTCTCAGGTGTCCAATCCCTATTTGTGAGCCTCTTGGGTCTCAACTTGACTCTGACTCTGGCTGCCCGTTTCATCGGCGAGTGTCCGGACATCAGTGGGTTGATAGTGGACCTGCCCAATCTGGCAGAGTACATGGGCAGGTGGTACGAGACATACAGGGTGCCCAACTTTGAAATGGGACAGGAGTGTGTCTTTGCAACCTACACACTGGAAAACAGCCCATATGGTTGGCCTATTTTACAAAACAAATTCGAATATTTTCCATAACGGAAGCTTAGTTAACCTTCCGTTATGGAAAAGCTTAGTTATCCATAGCTTATTATCCATTTTCCACGATGGATTATTTTGCTACTTAGATCAGCTTTTTCTTTACTTTTGCATGCAAAAAATCCGATAACACTTTTAATTTGATACTGTTTTTGTGTTTTAGGTCAACTTAGTTTTGATAATTTTTTCAATTTTGTTTTACAACTGTGTTTGCTTCTTTCAATAAAACAACTTGGATAACGTTTTGACAATGTTTCCGTCATTCTGTTTCAAGGAAGATTTTGATTATAAGTAACTTTTGCTTTCAACTATGTGGTGGATTATGTTATGACTCATTTTTGACGTTTTGTTTGCTTTAAGTTCAAAGTTTTGATTGAAGTTTGTTCAATTTTGTTTCCAAAAAACTTGACTTATTTCCGACAATTTTTTTTACTATGTTTTAACCGCACTTCTTGTTCTATGAGTTGAACTAACTTCCGCCTTAAAGTTTCAAAAGCTGGAGTTTTTTGCTAGATGCATCTGTTTTAACATTTTTGCATGCAAAAAGAACTATAAAACATTTTATTATCAAATTTGTTTTGTGCTTTAAATCGATTTATTTTTGATGATTTATTCAATTTTGTTTTGAAACTGTGTTTGTTTCTTTCAATAAAAAAGCTCGACTAAGGTTTTACGATGTTGATGCCATTCTGTTTCAATGAATATATCGATTATAAGTCAGTTTTGCGTTGTGACTTATTTCTGACGTTTTGTTTGGTTTTAATTCAAAATTCTGATCAAATTTTGTTGAATCTCATTTCAAAAAAAGGTTTGACTATTTTCCGACAATGTGTTCGACCGAAAATGTTTGACCGCATTTCGTGCTCACTTTTGTCGTCAAATAAACTTTTGAGTTTATTTTTTTGTTGTTCCAGGTTGATTTATTTTCGATGTTGTGCTCGATTTTTTTTTAGTACTGTGTTCAATTATCTGCTCGAGTATGTTTTGACAATAAGCTCGACATTGTGTTTCAATAAAGAATTTGAATACTTTTGGAATTTACCCGGATTTTGAGTCAGAAAACATCCGCTTTTTTGACCAATGTTGGTCAAAACATATGTCAAACACATTGGTCCGGGGTATTCTATAAATAAGAGCCTTTATACGATGCCATGCAATTGGCTGCCAGTCTAGCTTCCAAACTATTTTAACTTTTTAGGTCTGGGAAATACAGCCATTGCAGACATTTGAAACCTTGATATTGGAAATTAAAGATCTAACTTTTCCG